AAACCCTGTGTGAGATCCAGAGGAGCGTGGCGGCCTGATCCACCGCCCACCTCTTCCCGTCTTCGAGCGCGACTAATATAAGACGTATTTACGATTTCTACATTGGTGGCCTGTTCACCCAGAGCATCCAGAGCTCTGCACCGTGGAGCCTAGCAACCTCCACGAGACCGTCTGTGTTGTGTCTGTCTGTAACTGCAACTTAATCAAGCTTTCCAGCCTACACCATTGCCATCTCGGTGTAAGTAAACAATCTTTTAAACTACCGATACGCGTCCGTGCCTAATTCCAGAGCGAAGGCCTTCCCTCTCCACCCCCGCGTGCCCGGGCTGCTGGCCACAGCCCGCATGCAGCATGAAAAAGGGCTCGGAGCGCTCCCGGCCCGCACATATAGCTCATTAATTACTTAATACAGGGGACTATACATGTGACCGTCAGGAGGCAAACACTATTTTGAATGTAGGGTTTGTTCTTTTTTTTTTTTTTTTTTCTGTTTTCTGCCTCTAATCAGCTCAAATCCCATTTAAAAAAAGGAGCTAGCTACTCCCTGGGGCAAACCAGTTTCCAAGTCTAATATCAAATAATAATAGTAACTTAGTGCTTGATGAAAGACTCAGGCAGGCAAGGTTCTTTGAGTAGATGTGATACCTTATTAGTCAACTGAGACTTTTCACCTAACAGGGTACTGGAGGTCATAAGAGAGGCTCTCATTCAATATTTGTAATAAAAACTAGCCTGTATACAATACAACATCCACTTTGCTATAGTCAAATCTTGAAGTGAAAAGTTCTCTCTGCACTGCTTCCTTTTTTCCTTCATCTATCTTTCTCCATTTTCCCATTTCAGATATTTTATTTAACTACTTCAGAGAAAAGGTTAGAAATTAATGGAGTGTTTTGAACTTGTAATACCCTTTATACTACTATGAAATGCAGGTTTTTGTTATTTTTGCTTTTTGTTCAGCTCATCCTTTATATTGATTACAAATAGTGCTTAGCTTTTAATATACCTGGCTGATGCTTTGTTTATGTTAATGTGCTTGCCTTGTAGTCATACAAGGGAAACAAACTTGCACATGTCCTGTGTCACCCCAAACTGTCAAGTTCACAAACAAGAATTCACAATTTCAAGGCTGATGCAAAAGCTCTGTATAAACAGGTAAATCTTGTAATATCTAGGAAGGTTTGCTGGACTCAGAAGGAAACAAGCTGTAGACTCCTGTCTTTTGAGGAATTATAACCACCCAACTGGTTTCTTCTGACACAGAAATCCCAACTTCCCTATCTCCAAACCTTAAAATAAATAATCAACCAAACAGCTCGTACCTGTTGGACCCTGCTCCTTCTTGACCTTTTTGAACTTCTTGGCTCTCTTCCTTCCACCTGGAACAGACTCTGCACAGGAGTCTCTCTCATCCAGCTCTGTGTCTTGGACTTCCTCTTCTTCCATATCATCAGAGCCAGCTTCCTCCTGAATTGGACTCATACTTCTCTTTCCTGCTGTGCTAGTCGCCGTAAAACTGAAATTAAAAATGGCAAGGCAATATGGTTAACCTGATGGAATGAATGTAGAAAGTGTATCTAATTAAAACAGCTGAATCTGGCTACACACCAAAATTAGAGATACATGTCAGCTATGAATTTTAGTAATCATGACAGTTCACCATGCTGACTACCTAAATTGTCTGGAAAATAAAGAAGTCTTAAAATTACCTTGCCTGGTGGAAGATTTGGCTGGCTGTGATGTTCTATGAAAATGATATTCACTGCTGTTCAGAGTTTAATCTTTTAGATGCAGAATGATTCAACTCTTTATCAAAGAGTATTTTATTATTTTACCATCTAGCTCAATAATAAAAGCAATAACTATATTAGGACAATGTGTTTTTATGAAGACACTATGATTGTTCAGTGTATCCTAAGACTCAGCCTTGGGATAGCTGTCCCAAGACCATCTGGATAGACACTGAAAAATTGATTTTATATTTGTTTGGTCTCAGAAATGTGTGCAAAATTAACACATCTTATATGCTCAATTCATCATATCTCTTTTGTATTGTATGTAATCTTAAGAATATTTCCTAAGTGACAGGTAAAGCCATCAAATTTCACTTAATCTATTTTAATCAGGTCTTAGAGATTCCCTGCTATCAAGCATGAGTCTATAAATTCAAATAAAACTCTTACTTTTCTGTAGAACACTTATCTATAATGCAATCTGAAGGTCATCAACTTTATTTAAAAACTAACATATGAATGAAACACTTAAGACATTTTATTTAGAATTCACTGAAATTATATCTGTTTTGTACAGTGTATCTTTTAATTCCATTGGGATGCTCTTGTAATCTGGCATTAAAGCAAAATTTTCACGGACATTAAATGAAGGTTAGCATCTACGTGTAACATGCAGCACTAACAACCTAGCCCAAAGAACAGTTGCTGTAATTAAATTTACATGTATCTGATCATCAGCTGCTTAAGAGTTGGTGCATTTTAATTTTTTTTTTAAGCAAATTATTTTACAGTACAGGCAGTCCTCGACTTACAACGTTTTGAGTTACAACGTTTTGCACTTACAACATTTATAAATTGACACCTGGTTTCAACTTCGACGTCAGTTTTGACTTTACAACACTTGAGCCAACACGACGCCACACCAGCGAACAAGTTCGCTGTGTCGCCCATCTCCCTGGAGAACATCTGTCCAAACTTCCTTGGACACTTTGAGAAAGCAGACAAGACTCCAGAAAAACCTTCAGCCAAGACTCCTAAGAAGACTCCAGCCAAGAACCCTTCCAAATGTCCAGCAAAGTCACCTCAAAGAAGTCCATCCAAATCAATATGATTGCTATTTACAATATAAATACATTAATGTAGCTATATTAATAATCTATAATTGACTGAATACAAAATTCTGGGTTATTTTTGGTGAAAATAGGGTATTGGGCTTTGGTTCAAGAACCAATTCCCCATTTATAACATTGTTTCCTATGGGAAAATTGGTTCCGAGCTGCAACATTTTGACTTAAGATACGGTTTTTAAGAATTAGTTGTGTCGTAAGTCCGAGGACTACCTGTACTAAATTCATGTTGTGGGACTTTACATTTTCCATGAAACTGGACTTCTAATCCCACTGTATTCATCCGTTCTGAATAATTCTCACACAAGTAAAATTTTAATGTTATTTCTGACTTAAAAATCACAAGCTTTCCTGAAACAAATGGTAAGAAAATACAGCTCTTCAACCATCCTTTAGAGGAAATTTTATTAAGTTTTGGCTTTGAAATGCATTTTTTGCAGCAGATTCAGCTGACCGTCTTGCAATGTAAAGTACACTTTTTGGAATGTCCAAAAGGCAATATGCAAACTTGAAGCATATGACTAAGCCTCTTGCTCTTACTTCTGCTTTGGAACACAAACACCATTTGCTCTGGTGAATAGCTGGCTTTTCCTTCAAACATTCAGACACAAGCAGCTTTCCTCTGGGATTTGTGACTAATCTTTACATTGAGTCATACCACAGCAACCCTGCATAAAGCAGCTGAAAGCTAGTCAGCTAGATGGCCCAAAAAGTAGGATAGAGCTGACTATTTACCAGGTGGATCTATTCCCAATATCATTAAAAACATGCAACTCAAAGTTTCAGACAAAACTTAAATGAAAGAAGCAAAGTTCCAACAAGAGAGTGCAGATACTCCCCAAAACTGAGAACCCAACCATCAAGTTTTTTAAAGCCCCTTCTGAAAAATATTTAAAATAAGAAATCTACTTGTGTGGAGAAGTATAAAAATTGAAGAGCTGAAGTATAGGGACACCATGCTACAAAAGGATACTCAGCACACCTAAATCTCTGAAAGGAAGCTGTCCTACTTTCAGTTCTTTTAAGAAGTGATTGTGACCGTCACACAGGACCCTGGAAGGTATTATTTCTGTAGTGCTACAAAATGTATGACACTACAAAATATACAGCACTAAGGGCTGTGCACATGTGCCTGCCCACTGGCTGAAGTGTGATAAAATGCCTGAAAGCCATGGGAGCTATTAGTAATAGCTGATTAAGACTGGAGACCACTGCAGGAGCTACAGGGGCTGCTCTATCAGTCTCTAGTCTGGGGCTACCTCTTAATTGTGAACTTTAAAGAGCTTCTGGCACTCTTAAGCATTAGCAGCCCTTTCAGGTTGTTGGTGCAACTATCTGCAAGCCATTCTGTGACAGTAAGGGCCAACTGTGGTCAGCTCTTACCACTGCTACAGCCCCACTGATTGTCCATTGGGCCATAATAGGGCCAGGACAGCCTGCATGCTACCCCAGGGAGCCAAGCGCTCACCCAGTCAGCCTCCACTCTGTAACCCTTTAAATTTAGACCCGTTGGCAAGATCTTTGTTTGTATATATCTCTTGGGACAAGGACATTTCCATCTGTTTAATATGTAGCCAAATATCCTGTCCAGAATGTCAAGCGTATCAGCATTCCCACACTGAAAAACGGCGGTGGGGGTACTTTAACTAATGCTTGTTGAATGAGCTTTAAAGCGCCCTTGCCACCATTTTTCAGCGTAGGGATGCTAATTCACATGACACTGGAGTCTGCTGGAGTGTGGTAATTGCCACAGTTCAGCAAACTCGATTAATCAAGCCTGCTCCAGTGCACTGCAATTACACCTTTACTGTACAGTAGAAGACATCTAAAAGGGTACTGGGGTATAGGTTGTAGCCGTAATGGTCTAAGGACATAGGCAGACATAGGCGACATGTAGGGAGAGGATGGGGGGGGGTGTGCCCCCCCCGCCG